TATCATATTGTGTATTAGTAAATTACCTGTGTGCATGATGAAATAAAATTTAATAAATAAGCACCTTTTAATTTTAGCTTTACAAGAAATATGGTAAATGTACAGATAATTTTGCTTTCATTGTTAGGATGTATCACATATGTCACATAACTACTGTGTTTAGTAGAACATCCAAATGTGGAAAAATTCTATGAATGATTACAGCTAATTAACACTACCCTTCTAGCAGTATTTTTCATGGTTTTATTCATAGAAGTTTCTTTGCATTTTTCTCTAAAGTGAACCCCCTGGTTTTCATATTAAAAAAATACTGATTCAACCTCTTGCTAATACAGCAAACACAAACACAATATGGTTCAGTAGAGAAAAACACCAGAAAAAAACAGTTTTTTATAAAGACTGTCTTGAAACGTTTTTGTATACGCACACAAGCTTTTTACATACTTACATACTTGAAATTTATTTTTTCAGTATAGCTTTTATAGAGCTTATACATGTACAAGATGTATGGAAATTCTAAGTTTTATAGTAATAAAGGCTGAGTTAATTTGAAGTTAGTCTGTTGACAGAAGAGCTCCTTACTAAACCTTGTAGAAAGTTTTAAAAAATAAAAATGAGTAATTCTTGGGACAGTGTTTTTTAGAGTTTATGATGAGCCTAGGCTGAAGCAGGCATTCTGTATTTTTCTCCCAGTCTTAAACAGATTACTCTTTTGTTAGAGAAGACGAGACCTTTTTGTTCTCATGTGTTTCAGCCATGATTAAGTCAACCTATGAGTCCTTTTTTTAAAGCTAGGCAGAGGTTATCTTCTTTTGATTAGTAAAAGCAGTGCTTGCTATTTAAAAGATTACCTGCTTCAGCTGTTTATCAGAAGGATAAGCAATGCTATCAATTTGAGCTTTAAACAACTTGCAAATGAATAGTCAGGGTCCTCATTTTCTTCTACTAGTTTTAGCATTAACTTGGTGTGGTAGAGCACAAAGAATAATACCATTTACTGCAGCAGCAGCTAATTTTAGTGAGGATTGTATCCTGCCTTAACTAAGGCAACTAAGATAACAAAATCTACTGTGATTTTGGCCTGAAAGCAGTTCCAGTCTGCAAGTTAATCTAAGGACGTGGTCTTTGAAGCACGGAAAGATATGATCTATTTCCTGATGAACATAAACTGGCAACACAAAGCTAGAGGACTTGTGGATGAGGCTGGTTAGGGAGTTTTACAGCAGAAACAGAGAAGTGCAGATCAGTTCCTGGTGTGAAAAATGATAAAAGTCTTAGACGTGAAAAAGGGACAAAAATAGTCCAGAAAAAAGACTGGTTTAGTACAGGCAAATAAAAAAAGAGAAAAGAAAAAGGAGTAGACTTTTGTGCAGAGTTTGAATCATGGAGGGTGGTGAAACTGAGAATGAGGATCCTGGATTTTCTGTGATAAAACACAGAAGACTGGAGTGAGGAAAGATAAAAAATCAGAATCTGGAGAGGTGAAATATCTCAACAACCAAGACTTGCAAAGTTGTGAATTATGGATTAAAGAAATATTTATAGGTGTAGAAATAGTCAACAGAAATAAGTTATATTTCCACTTCTTCAGTATTTATATCCATACTTTAGCCATGAGCCGTGAGCCTTTATAATTCTGTTTGGTCTGTGTGCCTCTCCTGGGATATCAGCTGTACTCTTGCTGCAGCAGCTTGTTCCAGGGACTCTTACGTTAAAGACGCAGCACTTGTTTAGTTCTTCCAGTTTAATGGAGAATTGAGAAATGTTAGTTTGAAATTCATTTTTTTTAATCAGGAAGAGTTTTATTTATTTTCTATCTTCTTCCAAATCCAGCAATACCAGTGGCTGATCTTGTTTAGCCTGTGACTTGAATTATCTTGGCTTAGCTTCTACGAAAACATTTTCTTTTTGACAGCTTCATTTTTCGGTTAGAATGAAGCTGGCTTGCGAAGCCTTCATTATGGAAGATGATGAAACATGTTTCATGAAAGGTAGTTTCATGAAAGGCTTTCAAAATCCCTGCATTAGCTTTCTGCTGGACTTGATCAATGGGCAGTCAGTCTAGTGAAATAAAATTCAAATGAGATATTCCTTTCTGGCAGTCCTGAGATACCCTGTGGAGCCACCTTCTTACCTCTGGTCACTTCAGTGTGTTGAGCCTTGTTCTTAGATGTGAGAGGTTGTAATAAGTGCAGCCTGAAGGGTGATTATACTTAGGCAAGGCAGTGTGCAATAGGATCATGAACAGTGCTCTAGCCTGTTGCAAATTCAGTGTCAACCTTTGCCAGTTTTTGAGGTCTTTGAGCAAAGCTGAAGTTCTGAGACAATGTGGAATGTACATCTGTTGAAAGTGTGAATGTGGGTGGTTTTTGTAGTTGATACTGTAAAGAGAAGGTGAATTACTGAGAATGCATGTGTAAATCTCATCAGCAAACAGTGCATCAGGGAACAGCTCATCTTCACTCCCATGTTATCTCTCTTCCATCAGTCACTACTTAACTGGGCACTCCTTATAGAGTTACACCTTCTTTTCCTACTATATTGATGGATATAAGGTGTTTATAACTGTAGTTACCGAATAATGTTGAATTTGCAAAGCACTGGTATTTCTGTGGCATTGCATTGTCCATGCTACTTGCTGTCTTCTCTCCTACGTTATGTGATCACCTGCAGCCGAGCCATGATCTAAACTGTCTGGTCCAACTGTCCTTTCCTGACCTCAGTGTCCTCTTCAGAGCTCGGATGCCTCTGACAGCTACAGCTTGTTAGCAATTGGGATGTGTTAGTTGCCTTCTGGGAGCACATCTTCTGGTGCAGTTTCATCTGTAGAGGATCCACTTTGCGTGCTCCGAGACTGTAAACTAAAGCACAGTAAGTGAGGATGTTTGGGAAATTCGCTTCAAAAGTGCATTTGTGATCTAAAATAAATTGACAACATAGACACAACCTGTACACCCTCAGTTTCAGCAATGAGGCACAGGAGAGACTGGTACAGGCAGTACTTTCTCTGCCTTCTCCTGGCTGGCAGGGCGCCTTGTATTTCCCAGGAAAGTCCTTGAGTGAGAAGAGCTGTCGTGCATGGGGATCGGTGAGGCACTGTGAGTTATAGGGAGCAAATGAGTGGTAGTGGATGTTTGCGTCATGCCTTCCATGTCCTCCTCTTTCTGAGATAATGCTGGTTGTGACAGTGACAGTTTGGTCCATATATGCAAAGCACTATGCAAATATACAATTCCTGTAGTATAAAACAAACATTACATTTTGCATTGTTTTTATTTTGGCATAAGCTTATGTTCTGTTGCAAAGTCAAGAACAAGTGCAAATGAGCTTTAAGAGCTTTTTCTTACGAAACCTTTCAGAATTGTTCCGCACAGATTGAAGTAGAAAACAGAATTGGAGTCTCATGTAGGATCAAAGCAAACAAGACTGAGAGGAAGCCCAGAAGCTCACTGCGCTTCACCTGCTGCCCAAAACAGGATCGACATGTCAACATGGTGTTCTTAACTGTCTTTTTTTCCCTCGATCTTTCTTGCAGGAGTTTCAGTGATAGAGATTTCTTGACATCTGCAGATATTGTACAGCACTACTTCGCTATCCTTGAAGTTATACCTGTTCCCCACTATGTAACCAGGATATTGCTTGTTGCAAATGAAGTCCATTACTTTTTTCCTCATCAGTCTAGCTACAGAAACAATTACTCTTTGGCTCTTTCAGAAGCCTTTTATGTATTTGAAAATTTCTCACAGGTTCTGTTAGCCCAAAGGCTTTATAATTTATCTTTTGACTTTTAGTAGAATATATTAAGAAAAGGCAATTTTCTGTCTTTTTAACTTCCCACTGGTTGATAATAGAGTTTGCGTAAAATGAATGTAACAAGGGAAACCTCATGTAGCATATTTTATGTTTATTATAAGAGAATGAATTGTAATCAGTCATTATGAACTTGGGGGTTTTTTTTTTGAGAACAGAAAGGATATTTGCTCCCTCTATGAAATGAGAGTTTATTGATAGAAGGAAAAATGGAAGTAAAAGAGATCTGGAGTGTACCTCCATTATGTGTGCAAAAAAATCTCTAAAGATATTTTGTGAAGCAATGCAAAAAAATGAACTCCTTTTCCTGGGAAGGAAGAAGAGTACAGAATATACTACTATGATTGTTTATACGTTTAAGTAATTCTTGAAAAATTATTGTTCAGAGAACCCATTCTAAACTTATCTAGTCAGAAGGCTCACACTCACTGTTTTGGAATCATTATGTTGATGTTTCAGGCTTCCCACATGGTCTTACAAAGCTTGGCTTCTTCCTTCTTAGGAAAAGTTTTATTTTTCAGGGGACATCACTGCTAGGATATTATAAAACTACCGTGAATGTTTTATAATAATGGATGAAACATGCATACTCCCAAATATATGCATTTTCCCAGAGGAATGAAAAATGTTTTGTAACTTTGGACAATTAGCTTCACAACGCAGTGAGCTCGGATAAATTGTATCTTATAGCGAAAGAAATATGAAGAAAAATGCTGACCCCCATGGGTTTTACGTGATCATTATACATTATTTCTTGTGGCAGTAGAGCCCCGATGCCCCAGTCAAGGCCTCAAACCCCTTTGTACCGTGGACTCTAATATGGAGGCAAAACAGAGCCACACCCTGCCCAGATGATCCTTTTATTTGAAGTTTTGACAAGACTGCAGGTGACTGAAGCGGGCGTTTGGATAAGTCAGGAAGCAAGCACGTTTTGCCACGTAGCTTAACAATCTCAGAAGCCCCAGTTACCAGGTATCTAGCTAATACCAGGTATAGAGATATGCAGAAAGACCCCAACTAAAAGAACATATTAGGTTGTTTAAATATAAAGTAGTTAGGATATAGTGTACTGCTGAATAAATGAATGAACAGTTTAACAGAACAAAAAGAACAAGTTGTCTTGCTTTTACACAGCCCAGTCTAAGAGTTAAAGGCAAAACCTAATAAATTTTTTATTTGTTTTGTTTTAGAACGTCAAGCGTGTACATCTATGGCTGGCTCCAGCGTCCTTCCCTCCAACGTGGCTGGTATCAGCAAAGAGCTGATCGAACTGCAACACCTCATCCAGTTCCCAGAGGAGGTTGCCAGCATTCTGACCGAGCAGGAGCAGGAGCTCTACCGGAAAGTCTTACCCATTGACTACCTCTGCTTTTTAACCAGGGATTTGGGTAATGGTGAATGTCAAAGCAAGCTGCCATCTATTAAAGCTTCCATATCTGCTACTATTCTTTCTTCCCCAAATGGTGAACATAATGCTGTAGAAGATCTTGTGACAAGGTTTAATGAGGTAAGACAAAACTTTTAAGTTACTTTTCATAAGGGTTATTACTTGATATTTGGGTTAGTGATTTCCTTTATCTCTCAGAGCTGAATTTAGCTGTAATGACAAATTTTTAAAACATAAGTTGACCAGGGGATTTAGCTAAATAACTTCCACTGAATTTAATAGGAGTTATGTGACCGATTTGCTCAGTGAGTTTGGAAAACTGCAACCTAAGTTATTCTTGCATGTTATAAAGTAAACAGGAAGAAAAAAATTACAGACTTGTATTTCTTTGTCTTTGTAATGACAGTATGGGGTATACTTTCAGTCAGTTTATTATTTTGTTCAGGAGCTGGAGTTTTATTTATTTGTTTTGGATTTTTGTAGACTAAGCATGGTCTTAGGAGTCAGCACAGAAGTATTATAAACTAGAAGTTTCTGTGTTCTGTATAACTACACTAATCTTCACTATTTATTTATTTATTTAATCACCGTGTGTTGAATGTTGTTATACAAAGAAGTGTCATTTGTTATGACATGTTTCCATAAGCCAAATTGTGAGTTCTCTACTAAGATTTTACATTATTTTTAGTAAGGTGATCTTCTGATCTTCTTGATCAGAACTCTGATCTTCTGAGTTTAATAGAAAATTGATCAAGGATTGAGAAAACTGTAGAAAAAATCCACCCCAAAAACCCAACCCAGAACAAAACAAACAAAGAAACCCCTAAATAAAACCTCAGCTTTTAGCTGCAGAAAAATGGAACCATTTCTTTCTTCCCTTTTTTGTGTGAACCATATGCAATGTTAGCAGTTTCTAGATTCATAGAAGTGGAATAAAATGAAGATAGTCTTGACTTACGCTCTTTTAGTTTGTTATCCACTGCATTCTTATGCTTTAATAAGAGATGAAAATTGTGCAGGTATCAAAAAGACAGCACAAAATTAAGTAGATAGAGCAGAATATGTATTAACCCACAGTGAACTTCCCGCTTCCTGGGCAAATAAGAATCAGTGACTGAATATTTAGCATGTTTCAAAGCGTTCCTGTTTCTTGCATGTTGTTGAGATTTAGGAACTAAAATAGTGTAAATATGTTGGCTTCTCTCACCTAATTCTGTTATGGGAACAGGAATAAAAGTTGCAACAATGGTATTTGGTCTTTAGGCAGAGCCTCAAAATTGTTTAAATTAGCTCTAGTTACTGTATTCAGGAAGGTACTGTGGCTGGTGCAGAGCTGGACGGGAATCTAGCTCCTGACCCAGCCAGGGTCCTCCTTCCTGTGGTGTTTCTCTTACGGTGATCACCACAGAGAGGGCAGTGGGGAAAAAGGTGAAGTTGTCAAGCTCTGGTATGACCTGGTGAGGCACAATGCCAGAGCAGTTTGTTAGGACATTTTGCGGTTAGCTGTACAAATTAGGTTGACCGTCATGTGTTCTGGCACTGAACAGGCACAGGATTGAAGAGCAAGGTGGTGTCAGAAATGACTGAGAGTGTTCCATATCAATGAGAATTTTAACATTAAAGTTGCCTTTTGGTAAAATAGTCAACATTACTTTTAGTGTTAGAGGTTTGTGACTTTGCAATTTTTGTAGTCTAACATTACTTGTTTGGTAATGCTACAGGATAATTTTTCATATAATTTGAATTAACTCCTGAATATCTGGTGCATAGATAATATATTTAGTGCAATGGATTATTTTAAGTATAATCTGGAATAACTTTTTTTAAACATAGATGTTATACGTTTAAATGGAGTTATTGTACAATATTTACTGCTTGTAATAAATCACTGTTTTGCTATCTGCTTTATCTTATGGTGGAGTATATCAGTTGCCACAGCCAATCACAAGCATGAACTTTCAGAATGTCTTTGTTTATAAATGGCAAGAAAATTCTTGTGCAAAGAGTCATGCTTTTGTTGGCAAAAGTCAGTGAGCACTTGCTGATTTTTTTTGGCATTGCCCGTAGAAATACTGAAGTGTATTTATAATGTGGGAGCCAGAATGACTTTTAGGATGACAGGCTTCTGATACATAATGGGAAAAAAAATCATTTCATGTCATTATTCTGTTAAATGGGCAATTATAGTACACAGAAGATTTTTCATGAGGCAATATGCTTTTTAGTAATTTTTCTGACACTTACTACATATTAATGAGGAACACTTTATAATACTTGTTTAAAATGACAGTCAATAACTGCTGATTTGTTACACAAAGGAACTTCTTTATTTAATAGAAGAAATACTGACATTTTCATGGAAGCTTAGACTGAATGAGGGCTGCAGGAGTATTAGAAAATAATAACTAAAAATAATGAAGATTAAAATATTTTCAAATTATTAAAATATCTTTTAAAAAGTGAGTTTAAGTGAAAAGGAGGGGAAAAATTTGGTCTTACTGAGGTAAATTTTACTAGTAGTATTTACTGTTTAAGTTCCAGTAACTCCCAGAAACCCCCCGTTCATGACTGAAGTTGCAAACTCCCATTGACTGCAGAGCGCAAGATCAAGCAGTAGATATTGGGAAACATCACATGGTTCCCTTATACTTTAAATATGTTTGCTGTTACAAGACTGTTGTTTTCTAGATGTGAATGATTTAAATATCGTTACTGGCGAGATACATAGAGTATGAATATGTTCTTATAATTGATTAAACCTTTCTATTTACTATTGGTTAGTGTTGCTTAATACGAATTACAGTATTTAGACCTCAATGGAGGTATAGATATATAAAAGGTATAGGAAGGACTTACACAGGAGAAAGCACTTAACGGTGAGTGGTCAGCCTTCAGCATTTGGCATGGAAATGGTCTATGGAGAATTGCAGAAGTGAATCAGAAATCAGTTGCCCTCTGCAGTAGGTAGAATTGGTACTTGAAGACAAGTAACACGGCTGAATGTGCAATAAATAACTGTTGTTATTTTTCCTACTCAATTTCTCGTTTGTGGAAAAGCGTAATAGTGGGCATACTGTCTAACACTGGATGAAGCCTGTAATGTGCATTTTCTTTTGCTGTATTACCTGGGTAAGGTGTTTTGACTTAAAGTACCAGAAGTGATTCAGTGATCACATTAATGCTGATGATGCATCAGGAACACTTCCTAAAATTTTTTTTCTGTAGAAAGGCAGGATGACAGTAGCTGGAGCTTTTGCCAGCTTCAGTGTTTCATTGTATCTGTAGCTTGTTTTAACATCTTGAGAGTCTTGCAAGATTTCTGGAAATTATTGGGTCTCTTAGTATGACAATGGAAATACATTTTTGTCAGATACTCTTGTTCTGAGATCACAGTGTTGTGACCCTGATGCGAGGAGCTGAAAAGTGTAAAAAGGATTAAAAAAAATTCAGAAACCAAGTTAAGAAGCATATAGTGAGAAATCTGCACCACAGGTAACTTAAAACGCAAGGAGAAAAGTCGTGGTTGTGCCTCAGGCCAGAAGGACTTTGCATTGAAGTGGGATGTGTGAGCCCATTCTTTGACGAAGGTTGAATAGGCTTTTGGCCAGCCAGACATAAACCAGTATCTTAGTGTTACTGAGTGACGATGCAAAAACATGGTGAGAGGTGGTAGAAATTTAATTTGTGAGCCTTGCCTGATTTTTTTTTTATTTTTATTTTTTTTTTAATAGGAGCTCTAGTCCTGCTTTAAAGGCAAGGTAACCAACTTAAACGTTTAGGAGAGCTCCTTTGTTACTGTCTTTGTGGCAAGGTTTCCACAGCCTGCTTACACCTTGCCTGAAGGGCCACACAATTTGTTTTTAACCTGCAACAATCTGAACATAGTTGTCATACTGTGGGTGTCTGCTCGGGGTGTCAGTGGACTGAGCCCTCTATATTATGGAAGAGGCACAATTCGTTTACCTCTGGGAACTGTGGTAACTGCTCACCTTGCCCTGTTTTGCGTGGCTTTAGTGAGTGCTTTGACCTTAAATTCAGGGGTACAATAAAGAACTCTACTGCAGCTGGAGATGCCTTTATTTGTCACAGATACTGGATGAAACTAATAACTGAGTGGCTTTTGTTTCTGATATATGAAGATCTTCAAAAAATAAACAATGAAGATTGGAGACATGAATTACCTTTATTAATATTCACAGAAGATGGAAATTATAGCACCCTAGATCCTCTTCATGTATACGTTTTTTCTTTTCACTGTCAAGAATGATAGGGAAAAAAATTGTAGTAGTGTAAGTAGTATAGAGACATGAAAGATGGATAGCATGGATTAAAGCTACTGTCAAGCACTCCACAAATAGTAGCACAAACATGCAACTGGCAAATCCTGTGCTGCTGAGACTGGGAAACAGAAACTGCCTTTGTTGAAGAGAGCATGGTTATGGCTTAGACCTGACATACAGTTACTAGAGGGGATTCAGGCATTATGTATTTCCCTGTGTCTTTTCTTGTCGTTGGTTTCCAAGTATCAGTTTATTCTCTGCTGTGTTCATCAAGGTGGCTGCCATGACAAGGAGCTTGAACACCCAATGACTTGTTTCAAAAATATGTTGTGAGAAAGGTCAGTCATGAATGATTTGCTTGAATCCCACAAAATGGGATGGAATATGTTCTCAGATTTTATTTCATTTGTATTTTAAAAGTTTTGGGTCATTCCAGCTCTCAAGTCTGTACAGAAATTCACAGAGAAATAAAATATTCACAGGAAAATAAGAATCTTATAATCTGCTAATGTTGCAGTTTGTCTGCAGGATTTACTGATGGAGTTTTCAGACAGATAGAGGTTCATATGACATATAGCCCAGTCACTAAAGATTTGTAATATTTACATACATAAGTTTTTTCAGGCTTTGCTTCCCTAGAGGTACTATAGAAAGATGATAGTCATGGTGGAGATTGCCACTGAAGTTTAAATAACTTCTATAATGCTGCTATAGAAAGCCTGGTCACTGCTGTTTAAGAAATAGTTCATAAAACTAAAGTTAAATTAAAAAATAATCAAAGAATTAGAGGACTTTTCAACATGTGGAGTAGATGCAGTAGAATTGAAAAAGGAAAAGTTA